AAAGAGTGCAGAATGGGCTTTTTAAAAACTGTTGGAGTCAGGAAGCAAAATACACAGTCCTTCTGGCAATAGTTGCACATAGTTTGAGATACATGCTTTGATCCATTCCGTTTGTTTGAATGTGACATAGAGAATACAGATTAGAACTTCCCTCTGGAGAAGTTATTATAGCAAGTACAGAATATAAAGAGGAAGACTTAATAGTTAATTTTTCTTTAGTTGATGGTATGCCTGAAGGAGTTTGAATAACCCTGTTAATTGCTTTCGGGGAAGGTATTTAAAGGAAAGTAAAGCTGGCTATTAAACCAAAAGGTTTATTCTAGTATACTTAGGCCTGTGGGCCTGATGAAGTTTTTTTTCATTAAGACCTGTAGCAGCTCTTATAGTAACCAGAGAATGTCTGGGCCATGGAGGAATCATTAGCAAAAATTCTCCTTGATCTAAAAGGAATAGGATTGCAATTTATTCTTGCCACAAGGAATTTTTATGTTGAAAAATCACTTTTTATTGTAATTGGCAGAAAATCTCTTCACAGTTTCAGTAGCTGTATAAATCAAACTGTATCTGTTGTTTCAAGGCAATGAACATTTAAGAAAACTAAATAGAAAGATTTTGGCACTTGGACTCATATTCTCTAATTTAGTAGCCCCAATGGATTGAAATGACAGCCAAGACTCTAAAGTATGATTGCATTATATGAATTCAATAATCTGACAAAGTAGTATTGCAGAGTAGCTTTCTATTTTTTATTTTCTGATTATTTTTATAATATATAAAAGTTTGTATGATATGGTCATACATTTCTAAAAAAGCCAGAGACAGCAAAAGTATAAAAAGAGTTTCCAAAAGGGCACAGAATCAAAGAGGAGTAGGAACATCTTAAATACAGACAATCAGTTTTCCTTCTGGGAGGACAATAGTACAAAGGCAATGAGTAACCCAGTAAATATTACTTTTACTGTTTCTAATCATGAAATATGCCACTGTTACTATTGATATAATGAAAACTAAGGCTTTTAAAATTTATTTATTAAAGTTAGTTTTTATGGAAATGTTACTATCTCAAGGAATGCATATTTGTAATGACTGGATTATAGTTAAGTAATCAGGTAATGAATCTGATAAGTTCATAAAAAGTAAGACTTGAAAGCATCTTAATGATGACACAAGGAGATCTATAGGCAAATAAATCATGTAGATAGAGAAATCATATTCTGGGTGACAAAGTATTGTACTGTTTTCTTGGCCTTGTAAATATGGACTTGCTATAAATATATATATGTTCATTTTCTGTTGCTTCTTTCTTTAATAATTTCTCTATTCATGTGTCATGTCTGTCTTTTTTGATTCTTATGCTGTTTTGTGGTGGTGTTTTCCTCTCTGTTGTTTTATTTGAATTTGGAGTAGGTTGCCAAACACAAAGCTTTTCTTCGGGTTCAAGTACCTCCTGAATACCACAGTGGTAATCTGATAGGCAAAGTATGTATCACTTTAAATCTGCTTTCTGTTGAATAAATATGCCATCTTCTTGCTGTATTTCTAGGCATTTTTATATAAGGATGCTTTAAGAATAGTGCTTGGCAGGATCTTTTCTTCAAAGAGGTTGTAATCTTGGAGTCCTCCTTCCTTGCAACCTAGATCCCAAGCATTTAGAATGGTTGGCTTGTGATAATCTCTCTTCACAGCCTTTACATAAAAATACTGCATATATTCAACTTTAGAAGAGGAAGTATTTTTTAAAAGTTTATAATATCTTAATCACCTGTATCGCAAGATGGATAGGAATGTGATGTCACAGAAAACGACTGTGAAAACCTTAATTCTTAAGACAACAGTGGATTAAACTCCCTGAACACTTAAAAGTTTGTGATGACTTTGAATGAATGCAGTTAATTTTCTGTTATCCTACGTTTTTTCCTTCCAACTGCTTTGTAAGGTAGGGTAAACACACCTAACGCTCTAAATGCTTAAGTGGCAAAATGAACTGCATGGCTCAAGTAAAATAATTGTGCTATTAGCTGTTGCAGGCATAGTTCCCTCTCGAAAAATGCAGAGATTTTACTCAACATTATTTATTTGAAAACAAAAAAAAGTCCTTTAATTCCAGTGTAGCGTCTCTGTCACAAAGTTACAGTTGCACCGGAATAACTGTAGCAGTACAATTAAAAAAAAAGTTTATGTTATTAAGATCAAAAGTTTACTTTTAGCAGCATTAACAAAATGTTTAGAGGAGTATTTTAAGACAAAAAGTATTTTAAGACAAAAAGGCCTGTCTTGCCTAGAGCCTAAAAATGGCCTGTGTGGGTCTAACACTTTCAGCCCTTCAGCAAAGGCATAACTGTGTTTAGTTCTTTTAAACATTTTCCTCTGATGAACAGGCCCCCCTCTCAACTTACTTGCAGTTATTTCCTGGTCTTTGTGGGTTTTTTTAATGTTTCTAAAATTTTGGCTCTTTTCGTAGTAGATTTTAAAGTGTTGTGACTGAATACAAAACTTTCATTGCTAGCATATTGAACATACATTATTTGCTGGAAAATGAGCTATCGAGGGCTTTTTTTTTTCCCAGTCTGCTTGGTTTGTTGTAATTTTTAACTTAATTCTCAAAATAAGACAATAAAAATAGCTTACCTACTAATCCTGAAGTAAACCAACTTAGCATACAGTCTTTATAAGCTATGAAGTTATAATTCTATTACAGTTAAATAAGTCACCATTTATAGATTATGTATATTTGCAGCTAGAATTGATATGTATGTTACTTCATATGTACCTGTGACATTTATTCATTATCTTAAAAAATAATAGTTGGTGTATGACAGGACAGTAATTTTCACAATGATTAGCTTTTGCTGTCAGGGACCAGCATCCTGAGTAGACAATCTCAAGAAGCAAGGCTGATATTCACAGCCATCTCTAGCCCTTGGTAGTGTAAAAAAATTAGATGGACAGAACTGGGGTTTTTTTATGTAATGAAAAGAAGAAAGACTGTCTTAGAAGAAGCTAGAAAATTGGAGCTGGTTGCTTTTCAGACAAGGTGACATGCTCAAATATGTGCAGGGTTCTTGACTTCTGCACACAAAAATGTGTCTTTCATGGATAAAAATGTGGTTTTAATTGCATAGATTTCACTATCCAAAAAGAGGCAAGAAATCTAAGTCAAATAGATGAGAAGTTAGCTGAATAAGATTAATACAGTGATTCACATGTGTAATTTATTTTTTTTCTGAAAATTGCTTCACTTTTTCAGTAGATAATTGCAGCACTCTCTGCGTCACAAAATACATCATACTTTCAAATTGTTGGGTTTTTTTTTTTTTTCCATTGCAGGAAGGACTAATTCACTGTTAGAAGTTTAAGAATAGAGTTTATACATAAGCAGCTTTTGTGTTGCACTGAACTCAATGTTAATTTGAATAAACCTAAGACTAAATTGTTTTAACATACTGGCGCTTTGGGCTTTCTGACTGTTTTAGTAGGAAGTAAAGATACCATTGCAACAGGTAAATATATTGTTACAACAGAGATACTGTACTATAGCACTTATGAGGAAGGAATGTGGCTTGATCTTTATCTGTTAGAAATAATTTAAAATTCTAAATCCTTACAGACTCAGATCAGCAATGTCAGGATGTCACTGATACAGGTTTTTTTCCACCTGTATTTTTAGTAACTACATGCCCTGCATTGTTACTTCCTGTGAACAGTTCAATTCTCTTGTCTAGTTTATTAACACATATAAAAATGTGCCATCTTCATATCCATTCTTTCCATCATCTCAGCATATTCCCATTGTTCAAGGTGACTTTAAATGGCTACGGCTTTACTGCAAGCTTAGATGATATGAAAAAATGAAAGGTATAATTTTGCTGTATTTATTTGATGCCTTGATATCCCCAAGGTGGCAGTTGAAGGGCATTTCGTGGTAGTTGGTTCTGTTAGATGTATCATGCTTTGGTGCTCCTATCTAGTTACCCTGAAATGCAAAGTTTACTTTTCTTTTGAACAGCAGAGAATTGTCGTAGCTCAAAATGGGATACTGGCGCTTCTAATAACTGTGGAAAACTTTACAGTTGTCTGGTTTTTTTGAGGCCTTGCTCAGGAGTTGAAGACTGAACTTGCTGGTTTGAGGCTCTGAAGGGCATTTCCTCTTTCCACTCCCTTTTCAGCACCTTGATCATGTTTACACTTTTTATGTGGCATATTAAGGGTTTTTTGGTTTAGCTTCTCGAATTTACTGTTAAAGGTCAGATATGTTACAAAATATTTGAAAATTTTGTTGGTTGGTTGGTTTGGTGTTTGATGGCAGCATACAGCAGATGTTTTATAGGCTCTTCTGGATTAAACAACTTCATAACGTCCTTCCAAAGCCTGTGTTTCTGTATTTCTCTCTGTCTTTGTGGGGAACTCTGCATCATATCCTTCCTAGAACAAAGTGAGCCTAGAAGATGCAAGTGCATCTCTGACTCCAAAAATTTGGGCCAGAAGTTTAGCTTGTAACTGTCAGACCCTATTAGGGTCTATGCATCACATAAAAAAAAAATTGAACAGTTTTGTTGTATTGTTACTTAACAGATCTGGACCCTTATTCATCATCCTTGTTAATATTTTCACTTCCACAGAAAATTCCTTTAATTTAATGCTTTCAAATCTTGTGTTAAACAGTGTACTAAAGCTTCATAGTGCACCAGCCTTAATCCAGCTGTTTTTTCTGACAATGAAAGATTCTGTGTATACACAAGCATATTTCCACTTTCACTTTTTTCCTAAACTGTGCCTGTTTTTCTTTTAGGCTTCCAGTGGCAATTATTATTTTATTCCATACATCGTCACACCTTGTGCTGACTACTTTTGCTGTGAAAGTGATGCCCAGCGAAGAGCTTCTGAGTATATGCAGCCCAGTTGGGACAATATCTTGGGGCCACTTTGTGTCCCACTGGTGGACAAGTTTATCAGCCTTCTCAAGGATGTTCATGTTACATCATGGTAATTTTACCACATATATACCTCCAGAGCCTTTGATAGTCTCTTTTTAATGTTGTGAAAAAAGATGCACCATCTCTAGTAGCATTGATTTTTTTTTTATTTAATTATTTTTCACTGCACTTAAAATAGTGTTAAAAGAAGCTGCTAACTTTACTGCTTTCTTATTTACGTATTGATGTCCTGCAGCTGTTGCAGTTAACTAACCATGTTATGCTAGAAATTGATTTATGATTACTTTCTGAAATATCAGTGAGCAAAGGCAGTCCATGGGTAAGGTAAAGTGCTTAAGTATAAATTACAGTGCATGAAGTTGTAATAGGAGATAAGATCACAGCCTCTTCAGAGAGCTCAAAGCCAAAGACTATCCTTTTCTGTCACCGAATAAGTGTGTATATATATGGCAGCAATGAGAAAACAAATGTAACTTCTGTGGTTTGGTTTTTGGGGTTTTGTTTGTTTGTTTGTTTGTTTTTAATATTAGCCTTCTGATACCACCTCATAAACATGATACTGTTCAGCCACTTCTGTAAGGGACTGTTGGAGTTTTGAGGATTGGGGCTGGAGATGGAAGTCTCTCTTCCTCAATTGCTCACCCTGTACTCGGCAGCTAGTCTGATTTTGTTTGTATTTCTGGAAAACACTGGGAGAGACTGAGCTTGTAGGTTTT